CGTGATTCGGTACCTGGCTTCAGCGAGATAGCTGATTTCACAGCCACTGCAGACCACCTTGTTGAGCTCCGCCCGAACTCGGTAATTGAGAGAGTTTAGGTCAGGGGACATACTTGAATATTCCATCTTCTTCAGGTACTCAACGCCCTTCCATTCCAAGTAGGCGAGAGTTTTTCCAACGCCCTTCGATTCCATGTGGTGGCACCCAATGCTGTAGCAGTACAAAGTTTCCAAGAAGGTACGGGCGACGACATGTGGGGAGGATATTCTTCTCGAGTTGCTCGATGTAACCGCCAGCGCTCACCTTCAGTCCGGGTCCACGAAGAAAATATCGGTCTTCCCTTTCAGGTACCATCAACCCGCGCCTTGGCGACTGTGGTGAAGATGATGTCCTAGACCGTAGCGACGTTGTCGGAGCTGCTCGATGTTGGAGGTCTTCCAGATCGAGAGTACTGGTCTCCAGGTAGCTATCCATGGGTGACTCCATACTAGAAGTTTCGCAGCTGTTTGGAGGTGACATGAATTCCAAAGGTCTTCTCCAGTCAGGCTGCGACTGGAGATGACTTCATATTTTGGTGTACATGAAGGTGATGGGCGAGAGCCAGCTCCTGCTTATAGAGGAACATCTTGGGTATCTTCCGCCCTGGTACTCGTATCCACGTCCTCTGTCTGGGCTGCGAAAACTTTGCTGATATGTGACTCGGTCGAAGTGACTTTTTTTTGCCCCCCCCCCTGTAGTGGTAGGCCGTGAATATATTTTTGGCACGGCTCGAAGCTAATTTACCTGCAAACAGCAGCGACAAGGCTATAAGTAACTCGCTCGTAGCGAGTTACATGGTAGCATATCAATCGCAATAGATTTTCTGCTTTCTTTGAAGAGAAAATTCACTTAGCGCTTGGTTTTGTGGAATATTTTCGCTCTTTTAGCCACACTATGAGAACCACCAAGTGCGAAAGTCAGAGAGCACGTCAAACGACACCTGTTTTTACCTGTCCTTCACCCGCCTGGGTCAAGAGGGAGGAAGGTTACGTGACAACTAAAACTTTTGGTGGGGGTCCTGCCACGATAGGCCAGAGCGCAGAGCAATAAGGGACTGCCACTGCCAAGGCATCGTGAGGTACAAAAAACACGATGCGAGCCAGGAGATGAGTTTTTTCGAGGGGAAGGGATATCGGGGTGGATGAGCCACTTAGTATGCGTGAAAAGTTGGAATGTGAAAGGTCAAAGTGGCCATAAATCGCCATCCAGGCAAGAGAGCGCAGAGAAAAGAAGAAAGTTGGCGCCATTAAAGGGATTGAGTTTTAGCTGTCCGTAGACCCTCCGCCGTGCGTGGCGATGGGTGCGTCGTTTTCCTAATTTACGCTGTGTCGGATGAAGCATAGCATTTCATATAGATTACTACTTCGTAGACATGGCTATTTTGGTGATGCATGGTTGGAATCTACGACGTCTGAACATCGCCATGTGC